TCTACTGTGAATATACTGTGGGTCATTTGTGAATTCTACTGTCTGTAAATATTCCTATACTGTGGGTCATTTCTGAATGCTACTGTGAATATACTGTGGGTCATTGGTGAATTCAGTTGTCATAGTCTTTCTTGTGTTTGATTTCAAAGTGGAGACAGGTATCCAATATCTAATATCCCAGTGGAGACAGATCACCCACATTTGATATCCTAATGGAGACAGATCTTCCACATCTAACATCCCAGTCGAGACAGATCACCCACATTTGATATCCTAATGGAGACAGATCACCCACATTTGATATCCCAGTGGAGACAGATAACCCATATCTGATATCCCAGTGAAGACAGATCACCCACATTTGATATCCTAATGGAGACAGATCACCCACATCTGATATCCCAATGGAGACAGATCACCCACATTTGATATCCTAATGGAGACAGATCACCCACATTTGATATCCCAGTGGAGACAGATCACCCACATTTGATATCCTAATGGAGACAGATCACCCACATTTGATATCCCAGTAGAGACAGATCACCCACATTTGATATCCCAGTGGAGACTGATCACCCACATTTGATATCCTAATGGAGACAGATCACCCACATTTGATATCCCAGTGGAGACTGATCACCAAAATTTGATATCCTAATGGAGACAGATCACCCACATTTGATATCCCAGTGGAGAAAGATCACCCACATTTGATATCCCAGTGGAGACAGATCACCCACATCTGATATCCCAGTGAAGACAGATCACCCACATTTGATATCCTAATGGAGACAGATCACCCACATCTGATATCCCAGTGGAGACTGATCACCCACATTTGATATCCTAATGGAGACAGATCACCCACATCTGATATCCCAGTGAAGACAGATCACCCACATTTGATATCCTAATGGAGACAGATCACCCACATTTGATATCCTAATGGAGACAGATCTCCCACATTTGATATCCCAGTGGAGACTGTTCACCCACATTTGATATCCTAATGGAGACTGATCACCCACATTTGATAACCTAATGGAGTCAGATCTCTCACATTTGATATCCCAGTGGAAACTGATCACCCACATCTGATATCCCAGTGAAGGAAGATCTTCCACATCTGATCTCCCAGTGGAGACAGATCTCCAACATCTGATATCCCAGTGGAGACAGATCACCCACATTTGATATCCCAGTGGAGACAGATTTCCCACATTTGATATCCCAGTGGAGACATGTCTTCCACATTTGATATCCCAGTGGAGACAGGTCACCCACATTTGATATCCCAGTGGAGACAGATTTCCCACATTTGATATCCCAGTGGAGACAGATCTCCAACATCTGATATCCCAGTGGAGACAGATCACCCACATTTGATATCCCAGTGGAGACAGATCACCCACATTTGATATGCCAGTGGAGACAGATTTCCCACATTTGATATCCCAGTGGAGACAGATCACCCACATTTGATATGCCAGTGGAGACAGATTTCCCACATTTTATATCCCAGTGGAGACATGTCACCCACATTTGATATCCCAGTGGAGACAGATCACCCACATTTGATATGCCAGTGGAGACAGATTTCCCACATTTGATATCCCAGTGGAGACATGTCTCCCACATTTGATATGCCAGTGGAGACAGATCTCAAACCATTGATATCCCAGTGAAGGAAGATCTCAAATCTTTGATATCCCAGTGGAGACAGATCTCCCACATTTGATATCCCAGTGAAGGAAGATCTCAAATCTTTGATATCCCAGTGGACAGATTACAGGAATCATTGAAAGCTACTCTACTAGACATTGCTTGTGAATTATATATGATTCCTATTGTGCCTTCTTTGTAATGTTATGTAAAGGTGTAAGGAGATATGTTTTTGATAGAAATAGGTCTGCTTTACTCATAATTCTGTCATGTATAATGTACTTCCAACTTAAGTTATCATTTGGTGCCCAGTAATGTAATCTTCATATCTGTCTGTTATTTGTGAGGAAGTGTGTTTTTGATACACAGCTTTGATAGCTGAGGCAGTAGACATTTGGCCTACACACCCTGTGGTGAAGATCTGAGCTGTGTCTCTAGTTCAACTTTTCCTCTCCGTGGCAGTTTGTGAATCTCAGAAAGTAGAAAAACAGACTGATGGGTACTATGGTGGTTATATCCTCAGATTTTAATTGCTCTGGATGGCATGTAATGGGCCTCCAGTATGTTGTTCTTTGTGGTAGGTAGGTAGCCTTCAGCTACTCTAAAGTGCCCCGCCCCCTCAATGACTCTGGTTGTTGATAGAGTGAAAAACCCGGGAAACAAACAGACAATCCTGAAATGTAATTATGTCCTTCTGTTATGTCATCAAAATGCTCAATTCTGCCTAATTAAGTAAAATGTTAGTTGATTTGATGAATTGTCATCAGCATGTTATATTTAGAAAAATAACATTTTTAGATTGAGCTAAATGTGTGCAAAATTAATTTATGGTTATTTTGGGAGTATAAAGCTACACAATAAAATTATTTTTGTCGTATAACTTGACTAATACACCATTTTCATGACTAATTTGATGAAAATGATAAAATTTTGTTATGATGTTTCAGTTGTAAAATTAATTAAACTTTGTTTTGTTAGATTATGTGAATTAGTTGGATTGAGTTTGAAGGAGGTAGTTATAAGTCCCCTACTAGTGTGACTGTGGGAGACTACAGTTTTCCTCTCTGTCTGTCCGTCCAACCATTCACCAGTCTGTGTCTCCTACTGGTGTGACTGTGGGAGTTTTCCTCTCTATCCGTCTGTCCAACCATTCACCAGTCTGTGTCCCCTACTGGTGTGACTTTGGGAGTCTAGTTTTCCTCTCTATCTGTCTGTCCAACCATTCACCAGTCTGTGTCCCCTACTGGTGTGACTGTGGGAGACTACAGTTTTCCTCTCTATCTGTCTGTCCAACCATTCACTAGTCTGTGTCCCCTACTGGTGCAACTGTGGGAGACTACAGTTTTCCTCTCTGTCTGTCTGTCCAACCATTCACCAGTCTGTGTCCCCTACTAGTGTGACTGTGGGAGACTACAGTTTTCCTCTCTGTCTGTCCCTCCAACCATTCACCAGTCTGTGTCCCCTACTGGTGTGACTGTGGGAGTTTTCCTCTCTATCTGTCCGTCCAACCATTCACCAGTCTGTGTCCCCTACTGGTGTGACTGTGGGAGTTTTCCTCTCTATCTGTCTGTCCAACCATTCACCAGTCTGTGTCCCCTACTGGTGTGACTGTGGGTCCCCTACTGGTGTGAGACTACAGGTCTGTGTCCCCTACTGGTGTGACTGTGGGAGTTTTCCTCTCTATCTGTCTGTCCAACCATTCACCAGTCTGTGTCCCCTACTGGTGTGATTGTGGGGGACTACAGTGTTCCTCTCATCTGTCCGTCCAACCATTCACCAGTCGGTGTCCCCTACTGGTGCGACTGTGGGAGTTTTCCTCTCTATCTGTCTGTCCAACCATTCACCAGTCTGTGTCCCCTACTGATGCGACTGTGGGAGAGTACAGTTTTCCTTTCTCTACGTGTCCGTCCAACCATTCACCAGCCTGTCATTGCGACAGTGAATGTTAATAAGTGTTCTAGCAGCTTCATTCCTTGAGGGATTCTCATCAAGCTTCACACACTTATCAAGCACCAGAATATCTTGTACGAGGTATAAGGTCTTTGGTTTAAGGTCATTGGCAATTAATATTTTTACAAAATAACTGTCCGTGCCCTAGCGGCTTCATTCCATGAAGGATTTTCATCAAACTTCACACATATATAAAGCTTCAAATTATCTTTTAAAAGTAGCTGTTCAAATGTTGTTGGGTCAAGATCAGAGTATCCCTATTACTATGTATAAAGTCATTGTCAGTGATGTAGCTTGTAGGGCCAGTAAGGGACATGTATTGCTTTAACAATAATCAGTATGATTATTCTCATTATTTTTTGTGACATTTAGAGTAAAAATGATAGTCAGTGTTATATATTGGTATGTGTTGTTGAATATTATAAAGGAAAATGTGGCTGAGATGATGAAATATTCACTGTAACATTTACATTATATCTTTGTTTTGTTTTTAATGTTCAGCTATGTGATTTTTATAAAGGACAAATTGACACGTACATCTTTCAGACAAAGTTGTTGTCTGTTTCAACACAAATACAAGTAATATTTTATGCATGAATTCCAAAGATTATTTTAAAAATGAGTATGTGCATGACTTTTTCTTAAAGTCAATTGACAGATGCCAAAGATTTACCAGATGATTGACAGAAATTATAGAGTAGAGATTTATCAGAAAATTGACAAAAAATCAATTAGCTGTGATTTACAAGGTGATTGACACATGTTGTGTTTTAAAGATTTATCTGATAAACAGACAGAAATTATATGGCAGAGATTTACCAGATAATTGACAAATATTGTATGACAGATTTACGAGATAATTGACAAATATTGTAAGGAAGGCATTTATCACTGTAACACCCCTCACTATTTAACCTATGATATTACAAACTACCTATTTATATTTGATGTCACACATGACTTGTTAATGATGTCACACATGACATGTTAATGTTGTCGCACATTACTTGTTAATGATGTCACACATGACTTGTTAATGATATCACACATTACTTGTTAATGAGGTCACACATGTCTTGTTAATGATGTCACACATGACTTGTTAATGATGTCACACATGACATGTTAATGATGTCACACATGACTTGTTAAAGATGTCACACATTACTTGTTAATGATGTCACACATGATTTGTTCATCTATTATGTCACACACGACTTGTTCATCTGTTATGTCACCCATGGCTTGCTTCAAATCTATGTCACACCTAACCTGTTGATCTATGATGATATGTATTACTGATGTCACACCTGATTTGTTTATTGATGATGTCACACATGACTTACTTCAAATATATAATGTCAGCACTGATTTGTATATGATAGGTGGAGAGAGGAAACACTGGTACCGATATATGGACAACCAAGGATCTCGAAACTTTTGGGTCCAGCAGCTGTTTTCTGCCTTCAAACAGGAAGTAGCTCAGGCCCGTGAAACATGCTGTGTCGCCTCCCCCACACAGTCACCCGCTCACGAACCCGCCAATCAGAAACCAGAGAAACCACAGCCAGTGAATCAGAATCCTAGCGGAAGTAGATCTCCGCCACCTCCACCTCCCTCGCACCAACAAGTCCCACCCATCCGAGTGCCAAGCCAACGTCCACGCACCACCAAGTTACTGGAAAGTTGTACTGTCCTCAAGATAGAAGAGTTTATCATCTATCAGGTGTCAACTGCGGACAACAAACGTAACACGCCCAGCAAGTTCCTCAGCTCGGACAAGAAGCAGCTCCATCTCCCAACAGACATGTCAGTATTACATATGGAGTATACAGACTACTTCTTCCCTGAAGGGATCAACTACCCAGGTAAGATGACATTCTTTTAAACACCTTCAAAGTATACCAGTACAATGATATCTGTCTCAATATTACTTCTGATTGGTCTGTTTAAATGTCATACTATGAGAATAGGATTTTCATGGAAATTTGTCAACTGATATTGTTTGATTCATATATATGTTTCACAATATTGTTGAACCCCACATGTCAAATGATGTATATCACATGTCAAATGATGTATATCACATGTCAAATGATGCATATCACATGTCAAATGATATATATCACATGTCAAATGATATATATCACATGTCAAATGATGTATATCACATGTCAAATGATGCATATCACATGTCAAATGATATATATCACATGTCAAATGATGTATATCACATGTCAAATGATGCATATCACATGTCAAATGATATATATCACATGTCAAATGATGCATATCACATGTCAAATGATGCATATCACATGTCAAATAATGCATATCACATGTCAAATGATGCATATCACATGTCAAATGGTACATGTCAACTGTCAAATGGTACAAAATAGATATCAGGCATCAAATGAAACATACCAATTGACTGTCAAATGATACAAAATAGAAATTGACTGTCAAACAGTATACATCATCTGCCAAATGATACAAAATGGCCATCAAGTGTCTTAAAGTACAAACCCACTGTCAAGTGATTCAAAATAGATATCAGATGAAACAGTACAAGCCCACCATCATCAGAAGGTGGGCTGTTTAATTCAACCTTTGTCTGTGGACCATCAACCCTTTTCCGTTCATCTGTAAACCATTTTTTTTTTTGTTATCACAATTTCTTGAGAAGTACGGAATGGATCATTTTCAGATTTCCTATGTGAGTTCCCCTTGGTCTTTATTTGAATATTGTCCCATTTAAGGTTTGATCTGAAAAGTAGAACGGCCCTTTGGGACCTCTTATCTAAGCTGGTAGATATTGGGATGGAGACAAAATATGGTGTATATATATATCCACAATTAATTATGATGTATGGATGTGATTATAAACTGTCCGTATTCCGCTGTATCGATCATACAAATTGATACGTATTACACAATAGGATCCCCAACCTAATTATCAATCTACAAATGTTTGTGTGTCCTGTTACAGACAGATCCTGTTACGGAAAGATTCCATCAATAATATCCTTACATTTATTGATTATCGAGTTAAAATCAACAGCCAGGTGATGTTTCGATATCACATATCACGAGCGCCTGTGACAAAGACTTTTTATTTTAATCTGCGAGACTCCTGTTGCGAATTGATTTTGAAAGTGCTTACAGTCGCAATTTATATTTTAAACACGATACTCGTGTTTTGAATTCAGGCGTGACATTACATATGATTCTAGAGATTTCGATTTCCAGTCTGACTGGTAATTGTTAGGTCTGTCCTGGCCTGTGTTTACTGATGATGGCTGATAATAATCGGCTTGGCCTATAGGGGATATTGTATTATGTTGATCAACAATTCGTACAGTAAAGAAATACACATTAGTCCACAGACTATAAATCCCACAAAGTTAACGACCATAATTACAAAATCTCTCGTAATATCAATGCTAATGGTCTGTTTAGAAAGTTAGGAAATGATATGGACATTGTTAATGCTCCAGTTGCCAACCATGTTTAATTCCTAAACTGGAGTTGTATGTGTTGTATAATATACAAACTTGTCTTTATGATTTGTTGTATAATTTATAGACTAGAGTTCTAGGATTTCTTGTGTAACATCGAAATGAAATTTGTATGATTTAACTATAATATTACTAGTTATTGTAAAATCCCTATTTTAGTGGTTGTCTTATTTTAGCGGGGTTTTTTTTGTGGTGAAAGTATCTGGCTAAAATATGGTTGAGCTGATTGCACTTTCTGTATATTGTTTTACATAGAAATTATTTTTTGATGCCCAAATTGCCCAACAGTGATAACATAGATAAAAAAATGATTGTCCAAATTAGGTATGTTTACAGCTAGTGCACCAAGCCTGCTAATGTGAATATTTGGTCGCACACTCTATAGGAGATGTGTGAAATAAGGAGACGAATCAGTAATTGTAAGCATTTTTCAAGGTGGGATAGATGTTTGAACAGAATTAAATGATCAAGACTTTGTATGAACCTGAAGGTTAATAGTGTGTTGTCAACAGTCCAATATCAGTTGCAGTGAAAGTTTTAATTAATTTGGAGTTTATAAAATATATACAAATAATTGTTAGATTCAATGCTTTACTGAGCGAAAAATCAAAATTATCACAGAAAATCGGCTTCAATTATTTAACAATGTCACAAACATACTTAAAAAAATTTATACATATTTACCGAAAGTTTGGGACTTAGCTAAATATATTCATTCATAGATTTAATTTCATTATCTCTAATTGGTCATTTGAACAAGTATCAATAATATACTGACAGTTTTGAGTATAAAATTAAATCTTTCAAAAGACAACAAGGCTGGAAACTTCCCATCACACATGAACACATTGCTAAATATCATAAATAAAACACTATATATATTCATATATCTCCTCGGGAGATTATCTTTAAAACTCAGGATACTTAAAGCTATTGACACAGTTTCCATAACATTGTTTTCCTTATAGAGCCAGTTGTCATGACAGAAACATCATGTAACCTTTATGAATTCATCATGTACTTCATATAATGGCCAGCTTTAGGAAGTGGAATCATGTTTATAGCTGACAAGACAGGCATTACGAATGCGTGGGTTCATGATAGAATACACAAGAGGATTCACCAGACATCGAGCCCAACTCATATAGATAAATGTCAGGTGTAGCACTGGGCTATAGATCTTCATTTGGGGGTCCAGCACGGACATGACAATAAATGGCATGTACAAGAAAAAAAACGTGGTCAAAATAAGCATCACCATGACTACCAAGCGCATGTCCCGACGTGTATATTTTCCACTGAAAGTTGAAGAGTTTGATGTTCTTGACTTACTTCGTAAGGCATTGATTGTTTCCTTGCTAACCCAAAAACGGATAAGAATGCCGACGTAACAATACAGTATCACAGGAATGCTTGTAAGAAGAGCAAACGGAAGAAGGAACCGCTTGAAGGAGTTTTGCGCATAGAAGGGTTGACAAAAAAACCGGTTCGGGTCATATGCTAAACTGCCCCAGATCTCTGTGACCGGAAGCAGCAATACGATGGGGTAAATGGACCACGACAAAGCAATCATTTTTATAATGTTCCATCTACTGCTGTAGATTTGTTGGTACTTGCTGAAATGAACAACTATCAAGTACCTGTTGAGTGAGATAAGCACGAGTCCCAGTAACTCCGATCCTTTTATGCTATAGGCTAGGTAACCCATGAAACGACAGAAGCCCAGGTCTATTGCCTGTGGCGTGGAATCCGGAACAACGAATGACAGGATGGAAATGTAGGGAAGGCACGTCACACAGACCACCATGTTGTTTACGACAAGATTTAGAACAAATACCGTTCCCACATGTCTGTGTAACTTTGTCTTGAAAATGGCCACAATTATAGCCAGATTGGCAGGAAACCCGATGACAGCCGTGATGGTGGCAGCAATGTTATGGTAGAATCGTACACTATCTGGCACCAGCTGGAATGTGGTGTTAACATTTTCTGGTGAGGCAGTCACTAAAACATCCATTGTTAAGTTGTTGTTTAAAATCTTAGTTTTCAATATGTTTCTGAATGGTACTTTAATGCTGATGTTGGTATGTCCTCCATATTTATCTATAATCCTCACACTAACAGAATACAGGTCACATTTCAAAACTTACTGGAGGCTTTCTCAGCAGAAATGAAGGGCTGGTTTCAATTCCTCCTTAGTAAATAAGAAACCAGTTGCAATTTTCACAAGAATCAGTTGTCGTTTGGTTCTTTAGAATACATTTGATACTATATGAAGATATTTTCAAAGATCTTGGTTCATAAAAGAAAAATAGAGGATTAGTTTTTCCTTTTAGCATTAGATCATGAAAAATCCTCATTATACGGATTAACCCAGTAAGGAATTGAATAGTTTCAGTAAAATTCAGTACAATAAACACACATTAAGAGGTGGAAGGTTCCTTTGAACGTTTCAGGGCCAAATCACAAATAAGAACAGCCTTTTCACAAGCTTCAGTGAAATCGTTTGTAATAGGAAGCTAGCAGTCTGTCACTCTGTACATTGTATTCTGAGCTGGAAAGTATTAGTGACCAAATCCACCAGATATGCTTTGCTTGTGACACCTTCCTGTTGGTAGCTGCACTAGCTTGACACAACACAGATTCTGCCTCAGCTCACGTACTTGTCCCTCGTGTACTGGTGTCAATATCACTTGACAAGCTCTAGCTGTCCTCAAGAGGAGATGAATGTATTATGCTCTTTGAGTTTCAATGTTGATCAAATAATTTATATAAATTTTTCTGTCATTGGAACCAAATATTTATTTGATGAAATCTGTCCAGTAATTCTTCGGTACTTTGTGTGAACGGTTATACACAACGGTAAGGATATCATGGACAATGAGAACTTGATTCTGTGTCCACGGCTGTAATATCACCAAAATATTGACAGTGAAGTAATAGTGGTATCTGATCCAGCAGCTGTTTTAGAACTAAGTGCAGGTCCCCGGGGCCAGAAGGCTGTAGCTACGATCAATGTCCACAGAGGTCTCTCGCATCATATCTGGAACAGATAGATAAACTCTACTTAGTTATCATTAAAGATTCATCCCTCCACTAGATGTTTCTAAACATCACAGCATCCTGCTGTGCTGTTGGAAAGTTGTCAGGGGATCAAAATTTAATTTTGTCATGTTTTGTGCCTTGCTGTAGGTTCATAGCCAAGTATCATATTTATTGTATTTATGTGTTTATTTTGTGCCCTGCTGTAGGTTGATAGACAAGTATCGTATTTATTGTATTTATGTGTTTATTTTGTGCCCTGCTGTAGGTTGATAGACAAGTATCGTATTTATTGTAATTTATGTGTTTATTTTGTGCCCTGCTGTAGGTTCATAGCCAAGTATCATATTTATTTTATTTATGTGTTTATTTTGTGCCCTGCTGTAGGTTGATAGACAAGTATCGTATTTATTGTATTTATGTGTTTATTTTGTGCCCTGCTGTAGGTTCATAGCCAAGTATCATATTTATTGTATTTATGTGTTTATTTTGTGCCCTGCTGTAGGTTGATAGACAAGTATCGTATTTATTGTATTTATGTGTTTATTTTGTGCCCTGCTGTAGGTTGATAGACAAGTATCGTATTTATTGTAATTTATGTGTTTATTTTGTGCCCTGCTGTAGGTTCATAGCCAAGTATCATATTTATTTTATTTATGTGTTTATTTTGTGCCCTGCTGTAGGTTGATAGACAAGTATCGTATTTATTGTAATTTATGTGTTTATTTTGTGCCCTGCTGTAGGTTGATAGACAAGTATCGTATTTATTGTATTTATGTGTTTATTTTGTGCCCTGCTGTAGGTTGATAGACAAATACAGTATTTATTGTATTTATGCGTTTATTTTGTGCCCTGCTGTAGGTTGATAGACAAGTATCATATTTATTGTATTTATGCGTTTATTTTGTGCCCTGCTGTAGGTTGATAGTTGTATTTATGTGTTTATTTTGTGCCCTGCTGTAGGTTGATAGACAACTATCGTATTTATTGTGTTTATGTGTTTATTTTGTGCCCTGCTGTAGGTTGATAGACAACTATCGTATTTATTGTGTTTATGTGTTTATTTTGTGCCCTGCTGTAGGTTGATAGACAACTATCGTATTTATTGTGTTTATGCGTTTATTGTATTTATGCGTTTATTTTGTGCCCTGCTGTAGGTTGATAGACAAGTATCATATTTATTGTATTTATGCGTTTATTTTGTGCCCTGCTGTAGGTTGATAGACAAGTATCGTATTTATTGTGTTTATGTGTTTATTTTGTGCCCTGCTGTAGGTTGATAGACAAGTATCGTATTTATTGTATTAATGTGTTTATTTTGTGCCCTGCTGTAGGTTGATAGACAAATACAGTATTTATTGAAATAATTGAAATAAAACTAATGCATGTAATGTCATGGTTCACCGACTCATTGCTATACGACTAATTTGCACTTATAACATCATGGTTCACTGACTCAATTGTACCATCTGGAAATAAGCATTATGGTACATATGAACATTTTTCTAATAACTGCATGAAACGTCGTGGTTGGATGGCTCGACCAGATCATTACTAATTGATCAGCTAGAGAAATGCTCCTTTGTTATTGTGCTCGTCACCAGTATCAAGGGATTTCTGGCTTCTGATGCTGTCTCTTGATAGCCTTCATTACCAAACAGTCATAATTGATTGTTTGAGAAAATGCACATATTCTAATTTTCTAACAACATGATTGTTAGTGAGAGTGTTTATAGGTATAAAATTCTACAATAGTTAATAAAAGTCATTGCAGCTCCATGTGTTTTGGAGATATAGGATACCAATTGTAACACACCATAGTGATATAATATCTGTTGTACAAATCTAGGAATTATCCTCTTAGCTGTAACTACTTATTATTTAGGAAAGAGAAATTGTCATCAGTATGCAAGCATTGACAAAAGTCTGCAGTATACATACAGTATACAAACAGTATACATACAGTATACATACAGTCTGCAGTATACATACAGTATACAAACAGTATACATACAGTATACATACAGTATACATACAGTGATGAAATATAGGTCTGCAGTATACATACAGTATACATATAGTGATGACATATAGGTCTGCAGTATACATACAGTATACATACAGTGATGAAATATAGGTCTGCAGTATACATACAGTATACATATAGTGATGACATATAGGTCTGCAGTATACATACAGTATACATATAGTGATGACATATAGGTCTGCAGTATACATACAGTATACATATAGTGATGACATATAGATCTGCAGTACATACTGAGTACATACAGTCTACGTAGTGACCTTATACAAGTCAGAAATATAAATGAAGTATGATAAAAAGCCAGTTATGGTATATAATAAATATTGTCATGATCTACAAAAACCTACCCTATTTACTGGTGAATCGGTCCCATTGATAGAAGGTCTCACTAAGAGACAGACTTCTGTGTGGTTCGGCTGAAATCCCTGCAACTCTCTCTCTACAAACACATAAACAGAATCCCTACTATTCTGTCTCTACAAACACAAAAACAGAATCTGCGCAACTCAGTGATATAACCATTGCTGCCACCTCACAAACTGATTATAAATACAATTAATTACACTTGTCTAACTAAATCAGTTGTGCACATTAATTAGTGCTGCTTATAGCCTGGAGCAGCGTTACGACTGATTGAGAGTGTGTGATTGTTCCAGGTTAATAAGTAAAACAGTAGGAGGGCAACAGATGGCCATTAGATATGTATTTTTACCATCCATTTTCTATCAAGCATCAGTGGAATTGTACTAACTACTGATCTACAGACCTGCTTCCTTTTCTCTCCCTTCCTATCTTCTAGCCATTTCCTTTACTTCTCTATTCCAATCCTGACTCATATATCACATTACCTATCCCCCCACCAACTCCATCCCCCTCCCCCCTACACACTCCTTCACACACACCAGATCCTGCCTGTCTGGTCAGTTATTAGAACCTCCTGCAGTGTTGAGGTCTGGTCACCTACCCTCTCCATCTCATTCCTTTTGGTTGGTCATTAGAACCTTCTGCAGTGTTGAATCTCGTGCATGCAGAGACAATTAGTGCTATAAAGAATAGTAACGCTTGTTGATAGTATTTGATATGTGCAGTAGTGTAGTATTTCTATTATGGTAAATGTTCATAAGTTTTGAAGGTATTACAATATATTTAATTCATTGTTTCATTCATTCATCAATACTTACAATTATCAATCATAACAAGCTATCATCCTTTTAGATCATCTACCACACAAGATGACATGCAGGCATTAAACAAAACCTTTGTTTATCCTAAATCAGACAAGATGAGTATATATAGGTAATCGAACCCAGCTGGACCTACCTGTAGTACTCTGTGTTAGGTACAGAGATAAATCTCCAGGTGAACCTACCTGTAGTACTCTGTGTTAGGTTCAGAGATAAATCCCATATTGAACCTACCTGCAGTACGGTACTCTGTGTTAGGTTCAGAGATAAATTCCATATTGAACCTACCTGTAGTATTCTGTGTTAGGTGTAGAGATAAATCCCATATTGAACCTACCTGTAGTATTCTGTGTTAGGTACAGAGATAAATACCATGTTGAACCTCCCTGTAGTATTCTGTGTTAGGTTCAGAGATAAATCCCATGTTGAACCTACCTGTAGTATTCTGTGTTAAGTTCAGAGATACATCCCATGTTGAACCTACCTGTAGTATTCTGTGTTAGGTGAAGAGATAAATCCCATATTGAACCTACCTGTAGTATTCTGTGTTAGGTACAGAGATAAATACCATGTTGAACCTCCCTGTAGTATTCTGTGTTAGGTTCAGAGATAAATCCCATGTTGAACCTACCTGTAGTATTCTGTGTTAGGTTCAGAGATAAATCCCATGTTGAACCTACCTGTAGTATTCTGTGTTAGGTTCAGAGATAAATCCCATGTTGAACCTACCTGTAGTATTCTGTG